TTTTTTTTTAAGAGATAGGATCCCACTCTGTTGTCCAGGCTGGAGTGCAGTGGAGTGAACCAGTGTTCATAGTGCACTGTACTCTTGAATGCCTGGCCTTAAGCCATCCTCCCGCCTTGGTTTCCCAAAGCACTGGGATTACAGGTGTGAGCCGCCGCACCCAGCCAGGATCAGATTCTATTTATTCTTCTGTGATTGGCTTTTTTCATTCAACATACTACGGGATTCAAACATGTCGTTACCTCTAGCAGTAGCTATTATAATTCAGTCCATTGTATGAACACACCACCACTTGTTTACCCATTTTGCTGTCAGTGGATATTTAGGTTGTTTCTAATTTGGGGCTATAATGAATAGGGTTGTTGTGAACATTCTTGTACATGCCTTTGGGTAACCAAATGTACAGATTTCATTTGGGTATGTACCTACGAGCAGAATTGTTAGGGCACAGGGTTTGCATATATTCGACAGTTTTCCAAAGTGGCTGAACCAATTTCATGTACTCTCAGCAGTAACGTATGAGCGTGTGCATTGCTTTGCAATCTTGCTGACATTTGGTATTGTTGACTTTTTAAATTTTTGCCAGCACGGTGGGGATGAATTTGTAGTGGCATCTCATTATGGTTTTAATTCTCGTTTTTCTTGTCACTAAAGAGCTTGAACCTTTTCAGTTGTTCATTGGCCATCTGGAAATCCTCTTCCATAAGATGACGCAAGTCTTGCCCTGTTTGTCTACGAGCTGCTGGATTCTTTTTCTTGTTTATTTGTAAGAGTTCTTTATATATTCTGAATGAGTCCTTTGTTGGTTATGGGTACTGAAAATGTCTTTTCCTATTATAGGGCTTGACTTCTCGCTTGGTATGGTATGTTTTGACGAACTAAAGTTTCTAATTTTAATGTTGTTCAAATAATCTTTCTTTATATCTGTTTTAAGAAATTCTTGTCTATTCCCCCATTGGTTGAGGTCTTTAATTTCTCCCAACAATCTTTTATTACAGTTATTCATGGGTGTTTGATGTTTTCTGATGCCACTGTAAATGATATAAATTTTCAGAAAATAGACTTTTAATTTTAGGATAGTTTTAGATTTATAGAAAAGTTACAACAATAGTGCAAAGAGTTCCTGTAGTGGTATAACAATCAAGATTTAAACATTTTTAAATTTTAGGCTGATGTGGTAGTGCATGCCTGTAATCCCAGCACTTTTGGAGGCTGAGGCAGGAGGCTTGCTTGAGCCCAGAGATTTGAGGTTGCTATGAGCTATGATGACGCCACTGCACTCCAGCCTGGGCAACAGAGCAAGACTACGTCTCAAAAAATAAAATTAAAAAAAATTTTCACGTTCTAGTTGTTTGTTGCTGTTATATAGAAATACAATTGGATTTTGTATATTGACTTTGTATGCATCAACTTTGTATACTTGCTGATTAATTGTCATAATTTATCTGTCGATATTTTGTCATAATTTATCTGTCGATATATTCTGCACGTAAGACAGTTTTATTTCTTCCTTTCTAATCCCCAAAATGTTCCCCCTTTATTGCACTAGGCTGGATCTCCAGGAAAATTTTAATATTTGTGGTGGTAGCAAGCATCCTAGTTTCTTTCCCAATCTCAGGAGAAAACTTTTTAATATTTCACCATTAAGCCTGATGTTTGCTATAGATTTTTTGGGTAGGTATTCTTTATCAAATTGAGAAAATTCCTCCTTTTCCTCTAGTTTCCTTTTATTTTTAATTTTTTTTGAGACGAGGTCCTCTGTTACCCCGCTAGAGTGCAGTGGCTGGATCATAGCTCACTGCGGCCTTGAGCTCCTAGGCTCAAGCAATCCTCCTGCCTCAGCCTCCTGAGTAGCTGGGACCACAGGCGTGAGCCACCACACCTGGCTTGCCCCTAGCTTCCTAAGAGTTTTTGTTTTTTAATCGTAAGTAGATTTTAATTTTCTCTTTTGGATGGTGAATTTTGTCAATTGATTTTTCTGTATATGTTGAAATGTTTTTAATATCTTTTTCTCCTTCATTTTTGTTACATTGATTTTCATACGTTAAACCAACCTTGCATTCCTGGTACAAACCCAACTTTTAGTGATATATTAATTTTTTCATATACCCCTGCTTTGGTGATCTCAGATGCTTTCTAAGAAATTTTCCAAAAAAAAAATTTGTCCAGTGTATCTAGTTTTCTCGGTGGAAGGGTTGGTTTACAATAAGCCAGATTGCCTTTGCAGAAGTCGAAAGTCTTAGAGATTTTAAATTTCAGTGTATCTGTGACATGCTTTTCATTTTCAATCTGGCAGAGGTTTGTGTGGGCACACAGTAAAGGCCTCTGCATTTGTGAGGTAGAGGCGCCTCCTACACACCAGACTGTGACTCAGCCACAAGTCGACTCTTGTCTTGGGTGAGAGTGTCGGTCCCACTAGCTCCTGGCAGATTGACCACACAGGGCCCTTGACCCCCTCCCCTCAGGGCTGCTGACCCTTTTTCAGGTTACCAGGGATGTTCTGGTCTCAGCCGCCAACTCTGGTCACACCACTGTGGCCATGAAGAGCTTCCAAAGTGCCTGGCAATCGTGCTTTCTCCAGGCAGATTAGCCCTTGTTTGTTTGTCCCTCCACACCTTCTCTGGTGCGTTTCTTGCTGTTGCTGAGTTATTTCTCTGTTGTCTGAAGTCTAAATCCAGTTCCCAGCAACTCCTGGTGTAATTTAGCTTAGCGCTTCCCTGCATCCTTGCGGTAGGCTGAATAATGGTTCTCCCCAAATGTTCACATCCTAATCCCTCGGGACCTGTAAGTGTCACCTTATAAGGCAAAGGAGACTTGCGGATGTGACTGAGTTAAGGATCTGGAGATGCAGAGATTATCCTGGGTTATCTGGGTGGACCCTGAATGTAATCACAAGGACCCTTATAAGAGGAGGTGGGGTTCAAAGGAGGAAGCCAGAGATTGGAGCGATTGGAGGAAGAGGCCAGGAGCCGGGGAGTGCAGGTGGCCACTAGGGGCTGAGAAAACGCAAAGGAGCAGATTATCCCCACAGAGCCTCTAGAAGAAACTAGCTCTGCCCACACCTTGGTTTAGCCCAGTGAAACTGAATTCAGATTTCCAACCTCCCCATGTGTAATAGAATGAAGTTGTGTTAAGCACTGAGGTTTTGGCGATTTGTTACAACCATGACAGGAAACCTATACAGTCTTCTGCTTGCATAACCACCCCTTAGGCATAGTAGGAGGGTTAGCACTCGGTATGGACTTGGAATTGCTTATTGACCGGTGAAGGGTGGAGCTGAAAGACAGACACACCTGCCCTAGAGAAGTAACAGGGTGTGGAGTACATTAAAGGGTTATCAGCAAGACTCTGGCTACTCCAAGGAGTAGAAGGTCCAGCGGGCAGGAGATGCAAACAGAACGTCCAATGCCAAGAGCAGGACCTGCGGTGAGTTTGCATAGAGAAGGGGCATAGAGCGTGGATGACAGGCTGAGCTGAAAATAGTTTTCTGTATTTGGCTCGTTTTTGCTTATACCTAGATTAATAGTAGAAGAGTATTTCCACCAGGGTTTGGGGGTGGTGTTTTGTCTGTGGGTTACTGGTACCCAGTGAAGTGGAAGGGTAGTTATGCTGGAGGAAAGTGCCTGCTGGTGGACACCCCAACATGGCAGGTGCTGAATTCCAGGAGGACACTTGAGGCTGGAGATGCATCCTGAGACCAGGGAATTCATCAGCAGGGGGGCTGGTGAGAGAAAGCAAGGGTATACTCATGGAATTGGGGCTGGATACGGCTGGATGGTCACGTGATAATTTGGTTGTGTCAATGCTTCACCTATATGGACATAGTTGAAAGTCAGAAAGGAAATAGAATTTTTGTTTGTTTGTTTTGAGACAGGGTCTTGCTCTGTTGCCCAGGCTGGAGTGCAGTGGCAAGATCATAGCTCACTGTAGCCTCAAACTCCTGAGCTCAAGCGATCCTCCTGCCTCAGCCTCCCGAGTAGCTGGGACTACAGGCATGCGCCACCATGCCTGGCTAATTTTTTCTATGTATATTTTTAGTTGTCCAGCTAATTTCTTTCTATTTTTAGTAGAGACGGGGTCTTCCTCTTGCTCAGGCTGGAAGGTCATTCATATTTTGAATATCATCCATGAGCATATATGTGTATAACTTTAATAACTGAGTAAGTTAGATGACATTTCCCCCTCAATATCTGATATAAGAAACCCAAAAACATTACAGTTCGGGGTCATTCCATGTAGGGAGAATTGCCGTACGTGGTTATAGGCCTGGTGGACATCAATATGTTACAATGCAGGGTAATAACTGATATATTAGTGAGACTCGTGAAGGCAGAAGGGAGTTCAGCTGAATGTTATTAAGAACAGTTTAATAACATTCAGCTTAAGCTACTTAAAAAGTGTGATACATTTTAGAGGTTTTAGTCCAAAATGGATTAAATGTCTTGGGCTTATATAAGATTGAGCCTTTAACCGTTTAGAAAACTCTCTTGTCCAGAATGACTGATTCATTCTTCAGAATTCCAGAGAGCTGGCACTCCTGCTGGAAACAGAACAACGGCCTATGTGTGTTCCTTACAGCCAAAACGTGCATGTTCTGGTGTAGTCAGATTCAATCTACGCCGGTCCTGTGCAAACCTGAGCATGGCTCACCCCGGCTGGGAGACCCTGGTCTTCCCTCCTCATCGGGGGTCGTCATCCCTCCCTGCTCACCTGGGCTGGCCACGCCTCCCTGCCCTCTTCTTCCTCGTTGCCTCAGTGGGCCTTGCCGTGCAGCAGGGGAGAAACCAAGGAAGAATAAAAGCTCCTTTCTCCCTTTTGACCTTATGCTGTAATGAAAATGACATACTTGTCAACTCATGTCAGACAGCCACTCAAACCATAAGCCCTACAAAAACAGGCATTTAGAATTAAAAAACAGCCTTGATGAGCTGGGTGTGTGGTTGGACGAAAACAGAAGGAAGTTCAGGGTAAAAAGGGCCACACTGAAAAAACAATAACAAAAACAAGCCAAAGCAAACATCGTGCCTCATGAGTGCAAGGAGAAGACTCATGTTCAAAGTTGATGGAAAATTTTAGGATGGAAGGAGACAATGGGTCAGATATTAGGCAACAGATGTGGCCTTATCCGATCCTGAGTCCTTCCTGTCATTGGGAGTGTGCAGCACAGAGGAGGGAGGGGCGCCCTCCCGCCCCCCTTAGCTGACGGCTCTTATGTTCAAGAGCCTTGCTGATCCGATCTCTTTATTACCTTAATTACTCACTTTTACACCAATTCTTAGCATCCGCCAGCTGCACAGACTGCTGGCCGCCCAGGCTCTTGCTTGAGCCAGAGATACGGAGAAGCCAGGGCACAGCCTGAGACCTGCGGGACGGTGTGTCGCAGAGCGGCTGCCGGACCCTCTGCGCTGCCTGTGAGGAGACACCTGGCAGCAAAAGCACCAGGGCTCAACTGGGAGTCCCCAAGCGCCCAGCCTGGGGCAGTGAAACCCCATGGGAAATGGGCTGGTGAGCGCTGGGAGCGGGGGACACTCTCCATGTCACTGTGTGGCCTCCCCAACACCCCCCAGCCCTCCTAGCTCTGAAGGCTCTCTGGGCTCCTCTGACCCCCAGAGCCCCTCCCTCCCTCCCTCTCTGTGCAGCCGTCCCCTCCCCCATGGCCCGGGCTTGTCCCAGCCTCCCTGGCTTCTGTCACACCCTGAACTTGCAGCCTCCACCCATCTGCAGCCTCCTCCCATCTGCAGCCTCCTCCCCGTTCTTTCTGTGTTTCCCAATTCAGATGCTACCCCCGCCCCCAAATTCAGATGGCTCAGTTTGTGTTTTCTGGCCAGTTTGATGTCAAGGGGTGTCACTCTCCTCAGCAGAGGTGGGGTCTCGTGATCTATAAGGCAGCCCTTTCTCCGGGGTGGGGTCTCAGCAGGCAGAGTGTGACCCACTTAGCCAGGACTGGAGAGTGGGTCTTTTTTTAATTTAATTTTATTTTTCAGCGGGGGTAGGGGGAAGTGAGGTTCAATTTCTTTTTTTTTTTTTTCTTTTTGAGAGAGAGTCTCGCTCTGTCACCCTGGGTAGAGTGCTGTGGTGTCATCGTAGCTCATAGCAGCCTCAAACTCCTGGGCTCAAGCAATGCTCCTGTCTCAGCCTCCTGAGTAGCTGGGACCACAGGTGTGCGCCACCATGCCCGGCTAATTTTTCTGTTTTTTGTAGAAATGGGATCTTACTCTTGCTCAGGCTGGTCTTTTTATTATTATTATTATTTCAGGATATTATGAGGGTACAAATGTTTTGGTTACATTTTATGTCTTTGCCTCACCTGAGCGAGGGTTAGAGGCATGTCCTTCCCCCCTACAATGCTCACCGCGTCCCTTAGTTGTGAGTTTACCCCTCATCCCCCTAATCCCTGCAGAGTATTGCTACCGTGTGAGCACCGTAGTGTTGCTCAGCCAGTGCCAATCTGATGGCGAGTACATTCTTCTGATCTGTGATACCTCACTTCGGATGATGGGCTCAAGCTCTATCCAGGAAAATATAAGAGGTGCTAGATCACTGCTGTTTCTCATAATTGAGTAATATTCCATTGTATACATATACCAAATTTTAATAATCCACTCATGAATTGACAGGCACCTGGGTTGTTTCCACATCCTTGCAATGGTGAATTGTGCTGCCATAAACATTTGGGTGCAGATGTCTTTATTATAGAATGTCTTTTGCTCTTTTGGGTAGATGCCTAATAGTGTTATTGCTGGATCGAATGGTATTTCTATTTTTAGCTCTTTGAGGTATCTCCAAATTCTTTTCCACGGGGGTTGCACTAATTCGCAGTCCCATCAGGCTGGTCTTGAACTCCTGAGTTCGAGCAATCCTCCCTGCTCAGCCTCCCAGAGTGCTGGGATTACAGGCATGAGCCACTGAGCCCTGCCAAGAGTTGGTCTCTAAGGTAGCTGAGGCAAGAGGATGCTTGAGGCCAGGAGTTCGAGACCCTGTTTCTACAAAAAAAAAATTAAAACATTTAATTTCTGCAAACATGGGAAAGAGTTCCATGAGCTGGAGATTAAGAGTCATTTTTACCTCTAGTTCCCTCAGTAACTAACTGGGTGACAATGTTAAGTCACTTGCTTTCTCCGTAAAATGAGGGATCAGAATGGATCATAATGCCATCTGGCACACACCAGGCTCTGCTCAGGACTACTACGCATACGTTTATTGCTGAATCCCCAGGAGGGAGGTACTACCACTAATTCCTTTTAAAGACAGGAAAACTGAGGCACAGAGCAGTTCGGTAACTTGCCCAAGGTTGCACAGCGGGTAAGTGGCACAGTTGGGATCTGAGCCCTGTCAGTCTGGCTCCTAACCATGCTTTGCTTTCTTTAAGATTCTTTCAGCTCTTGAGCTTTAGGGATCTGTTTCCAGCAAGATCTTTGCCACAGCAGATGTTCCCTAATTAAATGACAATAGGGAGCCCTTTGAAATGTAAGGAAGCCCCATGTTCGCCTTTAATGTCCTTGTGAAGGTGAGCTGCCACTTGCCATCCCTGGGACAGGCGGGACAGGCAAGCGAGCGGTGGGTTAAACGAGGGCGGGAGGGGGTTTGCTCTGTGTCTGGCCAGCGTGGAAACCCCGCAGGACCCAGCCTGCCCTTTGCCTCTCCGAAGGGCCTGGGACTGCTGCCTGTCAGCAGGTGTAAGCTCAGCGGTTTCTCCCTCAGCTAACTTTAAGGACTATTTAGCCAAGTGGATGCACAAGGATTAGGCAATCCACGGAGCCACCTCTGTTCATCGGTTGGGTGTGTCCAAGGGCTCTGTAGCTGTCAGAACAAATTCACGGAGGACCATGGACTCCCCCACCAGCTCAGGTGGCCCAAAGGCACAGATTGGGACATGGCCCATGAGCTGGGACGCAGGAGCAAGCACCGCTCTAAGGCAAGGACGGGCACCTCTGTGCCTCTAGTTAGGACCCTCCACCTCATGCCTGAACGTGGGGCCAGGCCCTTTCCCCAGGTGCCTGGCTGGGGGCAGCCGTAGTCCGCAGCAGTGGCCTGTGGCTGTTACTGAGACAGGCGGGAGGTTCCACGTGAAACCCTGCAGGGTTTGCAGGCACCAGCCATGCCCTGCAGCTGTTCCCGATCTCCGGTGCCAGCAGAAAGGGCACAGGAAGTGCCGCTGTGCAGGGAAGGCCTTCAAGCTGCCGCTGCCTGCCTCGGGCCTTTTTCCCCTCCCGTGGTCACCTGTCCACAATGGCTGTACTGTGTGGCCTTCAGGTGACTTTTCCTAAGTTAATGGAACCCACAGATGTGGTAATGACTTGCAGCAGAGCAGCCACGTGCTCAGGCCACCGGGCCCGACGAACCAAGCCAGAAGGACCATTGTGGGGAGGGTGTTATTGTTTCAGTGGGTGCAGCAAAGGGTGGATGAGCTAGCTGGACGTGGTAAATTGTTATTTACAGTTCCTGAGCCTTTAAAAGAAGAGCTTCCCCAGAATCGGTCCTGATCGCAGACCTGCACACCATGAGGGCCCTGGTGCCTCTTCTGCCCCTGTTCCTCCTGGGCACCCAGGCCCAGCATGGGGCCGAGTGGACCTACTCAGGTAAGCCCCCACCCCTGCACAGCTCCTCGGTTCCTCGGTTACCCCCGCAACAAGGAAGGGAGCCGCCCCCTTCTTGAGGACGAGAGGGGAGCCTGGCACTTCCCGGGGTGGCAAGGCAGCCCCCACACCCGCTGTGGCATCTGCTTGTTGTGGGTTCAGTCCCTACCTTTCCAAGGTCTCGGAATGTGTGGAGAACAAACTGAACTTAAACTTCGATTAAGGAAAAGAAGAAATAACTTTCTCTTTTCATGAACCCCTGCTTCACTTGTAGGCTTTTTGCTTTGAAATTTTTTCCACCCTCTGTGTTGGCTGGTTTGAGCCCCCTTTTTTATTTATTATTTATTATTTTTGAGACTGGGTCTCCCTCTGTTGCCCATGCAGAGTTCAGTGACCCAATCATAGCTCACTGCAGCCTTGAACTCCTGGGCTCAAGTGATCCTCCTGCCTCAGCCTCCTGAGTAGCTAAGACTCTAGTATAGGCACCAGCCACCACGCACACCTAATTTTTAAATGTTCTGTAGAGATGAGGTCTCACTATTGCCCAGGCTGGTCTCAAACTCTTGGCCTCAAGTTATCTTCCTACTTTGGCCTCCCAAAGTGCTGGGATTACAGGTGTGAGCCACAGCACCCCACCTGCCTGCATAAGCCACTGCTTCTGATTATAAACCTTTTGCTTTATTGTTCTATGTACGTGGAGAATAAAGTTCTTAGAAAGGGCTCCTGGTAGCCTCACAGAAGGTGCTTCAGGGTTTGAGGGAACTTCCTTCTAGGAAATTTCATGAACATCTTGATAAGAACCCAGTTACCTTTAGATCGTCTCCAGGCTCCCGAAACCAGACTTTTAACATGTGAAATTTAAGATCCTGGCATTTAGCAAGGGTCCTGGCCCGTACGTGAGCCGAAGCTAGGAAGACCGTGTCTGTGGGCTTTGGAACATTGAACACCCCTTCGTGTGCTCCTGCCCGCAGCCCCTTCTCTTCTGCACTGGACAGTGGTGCAGGACCCCAGAAGAGGCTGGTGGCCACTGGCAGATGGCAGGAAGCAGAAACAGACAGTGTTGAGCTTGCTGGCTGCAAAATCTGCCCCTGCCTAGGACGCTGGGGAAGCACACATTCAGGGTGGGTGGTATGTCCCCTTAAGTCAAGGGCAATTGTATTAGGGACACCCCAGGGAGGTGCAGGAAATCCAACTTCAGAGGGCCGACTCTACCCAACTGCTCTGTCCTCGAGCAGAGGCGGTCCCCACACCTGCCAGGGGCTCCCCACACCTGCCAGGGGCTCGGAAGGCTCTGGGGCTTTCTGCTTCATCTGGCCCAGCAGGACTGGGTGCGGTTTCCAAGTTATAGAAGAGAGAGAATTCAGACAATAAAGGTCTTGTCCTCCTTGGGACTTGCCAGCCTGGAGACTGTGGGCTTCCTGGAAAGCCACTGGAGGGCCCGGAGAACCTGGGGGCAGCTTTTGCAAACGCCTTCCAGGAACACCTGAGGGATGTCTCAGTGTAGACAGGGACCTGGGCCAGAGCATTTGGATTCAAGAAGGGGCTGTGCTGGAGGCCTCCTGCCTGGTCTCTTTGTCTTGGCATCTGCCTCTAGGAAAGAGTTGCTTAAAAATGGGTTTGAATCATTAGATAGTGAAGAGCAGAAAAATAAAGAATTGACTTTTTTGGCCGGGTGCGGTGGCTCACGCCTGTAATTCTAGCACTCTGGGAGGCTGAGGCAGGAGGATCGCTTGAGCCCAGGAGTTGGAGGTTGCTGTGAGCTAGGCAGACGCCCCGGCACTCACTCTAGCCCGGGCAACAGAGTGAGACTCTGTCTCCAAAAAAAAAAAAAAGAAAAAAGAGATTGCAAACCCAGAAGCTGTGAGAGGCCCCGTGCGAACACCTTTGCTAAAACAAGCTATGCACTCACCACAGAGCTACCCTGAAGGTGGGAGAGGTTGGGTCCTCAATTGCAAATGGCCGAAACCAAGATCCACAGCTATTTAGGGGCCAAGTCACCCATAATGACCACTGCCTTCATTACTCTGTGCCCTGGGCTTATCAATCATCTCTGAAAAGATAAATTTCCTTCCTCTGATTTAAAAAAAAACTAACCATTCTAGGTCCTCCCTGAACCCGATGCTTCCCCAGTTGCCCTGAATCTACAGGTGGAGACACCCAGGTGGTCTTCGCTGTGCTGGGGGCCCATAACAGGGGCTGGGGCAAGAAAGTGGGGAGGGGGTTCCTGCAGCACAGGCAGAAGGGGGCTGTGTTCCTGGGGGGCTTGGAAGGAAACCTGGGCCGTTTAGAGGAAATGAGGAAAAGGCCCAGCAGTGACAGTCATACCAAGCGGAGGACCCCACTAATGCATTTATCAGTTGGACATAGTTCAGGGGAGAGGAGAAAAGTTACATATAAAAGACTTTCATTGTGTTCAAAACACTAAGTCATGTTCCCAGGGCCAGTGGGTGCCATGGGGAAGTTAGAAGTTGGTACCCAAGCCCCCAGTCATCAGGGTCCTTGGAGTTCATTAGATGTCCCTTCAGCCTCCTTCCGGAGGCCCTGCTTCTGCTTTCTGGAAGGCACCCTGTGGGGCCCCGGGCCCTGACCTCTGGCCTGGTGAGGTGCCCGCAGAAGGGGCTCAGCTGTGAGGCCCCTCAAACTGTGACCGGCTCTCTCCTGTCACAGAGGGGGCGCTGGACGAAGCGCACTGGTCGCAGTACTACCCTGACTGCGGGGGACAGAAACAGTCGCCCATCGACCTGCAGAGGAGGAACGTGCGGTACAACCCTTCCTTGAAGACGCTCAACCTGACAGGCTACGACGCCCAGGTGGGCGAGTTCTCCATGACCAACAATGGCCACACAGGTAAGGGCGGGCGAGCCCTGGCGGTCCACAGGGGAAGGCAGGTGACAGGCACACCTGCCGGGAGTGGCCTGCACAGAGCCTCAGAGCTCCAGACCTCAGCATCAGGCACTGAGGCTCTGAGGCCTCGAATCCTGATGGCTTTTCCATAGCCGGGCAGCCTCTGTCCGTACATTCCGTCCTGCCGTCTCCTTCCCACCGCGTTGTCCTCTCACCCGCGCCCACTCCGACCCGCCCAGCAGCGCCAGGCAGGACAGGCCATGGTGCTGAGGCCACCTTCCCACCTGTGTCTTCTGTTCATCTGTGCCCTGCGCTGGTTTTCCATATATTCCACATATATATTCATATATATATTAATATATATTCCATATGTATTTGTATATATTTATAATCCATATATATTCCATATATATTGAGTCTGATTAGCTCAAAGCTCCTGACAGGTAGGCCCAGTATTTCTCCGAGGTTTCAAAAGAAAGCTCTAGTTTTGTTCTCTACTAGAAAGGGGGTGAAGGTCAGACAGGAAAAGTTGGGTCGCGGGACCCCCACTTTGGGAGTCCATTCTGGGCAACTTTAAAATCCACGCTTTATGTTTGCAGAACATCTTCCTGGTGTCCCAAGTGGGCTCGTCTGCTCTGAGCCTCATGGGACCCCAAGGGGGGGCATGTTTTAAGTGGGAAACCTGAGGTCTCAGGGGGCCGAGGGACTCACTCAAAGTCACGCAGTCTCTAATGGCCAAGCGGGACCCAGACCCCAGATGTCTGTTCCTTGGCCACATCCTCCTTGGATACCGCGAGCTCTCGCTCCATCACTCCCACTGGGTCGGGTGAGTTTCCTGCCTGCTGCACAGGTGTATGGAAGTCACCGGACTTGGTTTCGCTACTTGCACAGTCAAGAAAATAAATCCAATTGCCCTTTGCGGGGCTGGGAAAATAGCAAGTGGGAGAAGTCATGTCTGTAATAGGGCTCAGGCATGTGTGGCCAGGAGCCCACAAACGCACAAATATTTATTCATTTATTTTTAGAGACAGGGTCTCGATCTATTGCCCAGGCTGGAATGCAGTAGCCTGGATCCTAGCTCACTGCAGCCTTGAACTCTCAGGCTCGAGTGATCCTCCTGCCTTAGCCTCCTGGTACTTACAGGTGCTCACCACCATGCCCAGCTCATTTTTCTATTTTTCTGTAGCAATGTGGTCTTGCTATGTTGCCCAGGCTGGTCTCAAACTCCTGGCCTCAAGTGATCCTCCTGCCTTGGTCTCTGAAAGTGCTGGGATTACAGGTGTGAGCCACTGTGCCCATCCTTACACAAATATTTAATGAAAGCCTCATTCTTATCATTAATGTTGAGCTCCTGTTTCCAAAGTTTACTCTCTGAAGCTTCCAGCAGCTTGGCAAGTGGGGGAGCTTTCCTCCCGTTCTTGTCCTTGGTGGAAGGAATGGAGCAAAAAGGCCAAAGACAGACGAGAAGCTTTGTTAACCCACCTGGACAGTCACGCAGGAGTGAACGATTGAGAATCTCTATTGGTACCACCTGCTGAGCACCTGCTGTGTGCAGGGCTCTGTACGGGCCCACAAGAGGGCGGGTGTAAAGGAAGAGCCCAGCTTCCCAGGAGCTGGTGATGGCTCCCTCCTCCCAGTTTGCAGAGGACCCAGTGCCTTCCTCCTCTGGGCTGTGTTTGGATCTCCGTAGGCCGAAAGCCTGTTCCTGTGGGGTCCCCACCTCACACTACAGCATGTCAAACATATTAGAATGCACCCAAAGTTCACATTAATTATATTTTCTGATGTCAAGTATTTTGAAAGATTTTTATAATTTAGCTTTTGAAATTATTTGCCTATACTCTTTACAATGGGCTATATTTTAGCAAGCTCGGAGCACATTGGGAATTCTACTGAAGGAGAAAAAACCTAATCTGCAAATTTTAAACTAATGAAATTTTGATGATACCAAATTTAACAAAAAAGTTGTCATGATTTGTTAATTTTGATCTTCTAGGTTTCTTTTTATGTCTTGGAACCTATATATGTTATTGTTCTATATTATTATATATTTTAATAGACTTTATTTCTTAGAATTGAGCAGAGAGTACTGAGAGCAGAGAGTAGGGTCCCCTTTTCCCTGCTGCCCCTCCCCTCAGCACCCCACGCCAGAGTGGGACATTCTACAGTCGATGAGGCTGCCCTGACCCATCGTTATCACCCGAAGCCCATGGTTTACGTTGGAGTTCACTCCTGGTATCGTACGTCCTATGGGTTTTGATAGATTTATAATGACAGGTATCCGCCCATAGCTTCAGGGCCATAGAAATCCTCTGTGCTCCCCCCTTCCACCCTCCCTCCCCACTAACCCTTGGCAACCACCGATCCTTTTACTGTCCCCATAGTTTGGTCACGTACTTGGATCCTACAGCCAGATCCGACTGGCTTCTTTCACTTAGGAATATGCATTTAAGTTTCCTCCGTATCTTTCCGTGGCCTGGCGGCTCATTTCTTTTTAGTCCTGAATAACAGTCCCTTGTCTGCTTATTTATGACAGCTTATTTATTCACCTGTTGAAGGACATCTTGGTTGCTTCCAAGTTTCGGCCATTATGAATAAAGCTATTATATTACAAAATCTGTCTGCAGGTTTCTGTGTGGACATAAGTTTTCAATTCATGTGGGTAAATACCAGGGAGCATGATTACTGGAACATGGTGAGACTAGGTTTAGTTTTGTTGGAAACTGGCAAACCGTCTTCCAGACTGGTTATACCATTTTCACTGTGAGTGTTTTGGATCTTGGGCATTCTAATAAGTGTGTAGTGGTATCTTTTTTATTTTTATTTTTTTTTTGAGACAGGGTCTCACTCTTGTCACCCAGGCTGGAGTACAGTGGCCTCATCACAGCTCACTGCAACCTCAAATTCCTAGGCTTAGGCAATCCTCCTGCCTCAGCCTCCTGAGTAGCTGGGACTACAGGCCCCCACCACCACACCTGGCACTGTTTTCTTAATACATGCTAATGGCTACGCCATTTACTTAGTTCCTTGAAAACAGGGACAATCCCTTATTCATCTTTCTATTGCAGTACTTGCCACAGAGCCTGACATAGAGCAGATTCAAAAATGTTCACTGAATGGTGCATTTGAGCAGAGAACACCTGTACATAAAAGGCTAAATCCCCAAACAGGTCCCCATGAGTGACACTGATTTCTCAGCAGATTTTAATCTTTGAAGACTGGAGGCTGGTTGTGTCTTTTTTTAAAAAAAAAAAAAACTTTATTATAAAATACGTTCCACTAGAAAAATTGCAAAAGTAATACAGAGAGTCCCATATACCCTTCTTCCACTCCCCCTAGCACTAACATTTTATAGCCATAGGACAATTATTACTGAACTAGGGAATTGAGATGATACAATACGATTAGCTCCAGACCTCATTTAAATGACATCACTTTCCTACTCTTGTTTTTCTTCTGGCCCAGGATGGACTCCCGGGTCCCACATTGCACTTAGCTGTCCTGTCTCTTTAGTCCCCCCAGGCTTGGTCACTTCCTCAGTCTTTCTTTGACTTTTATGACCTTGACACTTTGCTGATTGTTTCTTGAACACAGCAAATGCTTGGGTGATGTGGTTTTTATTGTCTGATGAGAAACTGGTTAAATTGGGGAGCAGTCTCATCAAGGGGAGCAATCTTTTCCAGAAGTCGAGTCCATTTTTTTGATCTGGAAGGTGCAGAGAGTTGACTTTTGGGGATAGATATTTTGGCTTCACCTTTTCAAAAGCACAACGATGAGCTCAGAATTGCTGCGGTTTTCCAGCCTGGCCTGTGCAGGCCTGTCAGCGCAACCAGAATTGACGTCTCTGTCTCCCGGGAACTGTGTTTTGGGGAACTGTAATTGTCAGCATCTCCCTAATTGCTCACGTGGTGCTAACTGTCCCTTTAGGAAGCCCTGGCCTGGCCTCGGCTCGCAGGCTCCGTCGCTCTCAGCATGTCTCCTTTCAAAGGCTGTTCCATCTTTTTCTTGCGAGCATTGACTTTTGAGCCTGGCCACATTTCAAGCTCTAAATACAAAGCACTTGTTCTGCCAAAGGGCCCGTTAAAATCTTTGAGACCAGATTCCTGCATTACGGCATATTACGTTATAAATTTAATCAGAGCCGCCTGCTCCTTTAGACAATTTGGAAATTACAGGTACCAAATATCTAATATTTGTTTTTTAGGAAAACTTACTTGTTTACAACCATCTTCTATGACTTATTATTTATTTTTATTTTTTTTTCATGATAAGGTCTTGCTCTGTTGCCCAGGTTGGAGTACAGTGGAGTGATCACAGCTCACTACAGCCTCCAACTCCTGGGCTCAAGTGATCCTCCTGCCTCAGTCTCCCGAGTAGCTGGGATGACAGGCATGTGCCATCATGCCCATCTCATTATTTAAATTATTTTTTTGTAGAGACAGGGTCTCACTATATTGCACAGGCTAGTCTTGAACTCCTGGCCTCAAGTGATCCTCCCGCCTCAGCCTCCCAAAGTCCTGGGATTAAAGGTATGAGCCACTGTGCCAGGGCCCCAGTGACTTTAAAATTTTTTATTGAAAAATATGGAACACTTCACAAATTTGGGTGTCATCCTTGTGCGGGGACCATGCTAATCTTCTCTGCATCATTCCAATTTTAGTTTATGTGCTGTCGAAGCGAGTACATCCTGATGACTTTAAACAGGAAGACCTTGCTGACAAGACAGATGCTGTCTGCCCCTTTCCAAGGCCCAAATTAAATCCTCATAGATATTTTTCTTAGTCATTCAGTCCATTTCTCCTTTTTGCCTAGCCCATTCCAAAAGACAAGGACTTCCCTAAGGCCTGAGCTGCTGAAATATTGCAGGTGTCTGACCGGGGCGACTCCCTGTGGGATCTCTGTAGGGCGAGAGGCAGGAGGAAGCTGGAAGAACACTTCATTTTTCCACTGACAAGAGCCTAACATTTTAATGCATCTGTTGATAATCACAGTCAAATTAAATCCCAAGCCAAGAAGAATTTGTGTGTCCCTACTTGCCGTGGAATTTGGTCTCTTGCCTTCTGAAGACATGTCGAGCCACATTGTGGTGACATCTGGTCTGAGATGAGGACCTAGACACTCAGTTCTCCGCCCAGATCTGCTCCTGCCTAGTGACCTGTGTGCCTTTGAGCAAGTCTTCCACCTCCCTGGGTCAGCTTCCTTGTCCATGAAATGGAAGTGTTGAAGCCCAGCAGGGATGCTTTCTGACATCCGGGTACACCCGGCTGTTAGTTGGGCTGGTTCTAGAAGGCTACATGGGATGAGGATTTTAACCATGCTATGAAGAAGACAGCAACCTCAACCTGGCCTTACAAACAATACTAACTCTGGATAGTAAAATTAATCAAAATAGTCCCAAGAGGCCCCACTTCCTATTCCTACACCTTGGGCAGATTTCAAAATTGGTCAGAGGTGTTGAGTGGAATTCTGGTTTCCATACCCATTGGCTGTATTTTTTCAGGCCTTTTCCTTTCCCTAGGGCCAAAGAAGCTGCACCTGCCACTGTGTGGTCCTGCCTGGGGGACAGGTTCTGGGCAGGAAGGCGTGCACCCTGGGAGAGGTGCCTGGCCCCCATCCTGACCTCACCCTGCACCCTGCATGCCACTGCCCCTCTCCTTCGGTGACCCTTTTCATGGCATTGTAAGCTAGTCTATGGTACTGGCTTGCCCTGGGTGCAGGCAGGTGGGAGGTGACCAGGGAAGCTACCTCATCTGTAGGCCTGACCCCTCTATGCCCACCTGCCCTGCCCCCTGCCCTGTCTTGTCTCTTCCAGTTCAGATCAGCCTGCCCCCCACCATGCAAGTGACGGCCGCGGACGGCACCAGGTACATAGCCGAGCAGATGCATTTCCACTGGGGTGGCGCATCCTCGGAGATCAGTGGCTCCGAGCACACCGTCGATGGGATCAGACATGTGATCGAGGTACGCGAGGACCCTGATTGGGTCCTCTTTCCTTCAAACTCCATAGTCGCTTTCCTTATTAAAGCAGCCAAAAGACTTTGTGCAGTGGTGGCAGTTAAGTCACCCTGAGGTTAAGTTTATTTTTTATTCACTCAACAACTATTGACTGATCACAGCTTTGTGCTGGGAGCACAGGCAGGGTCCCTGCCCGCAGGGAACTCACACCGTGGAGGGACTCTACAGCCCGCAGGGGCGGTGAGCCCTCCTCGTTTCAGCTGGATTTGTATGTGTTGGATTTTCTGGGTTCTCTCTTTTGCCCGGATCCGTCCGTAGGGTGGCTGCAGGTTTACAGTGGCTTCTCGGGGCAAGGGAGCTCAGGCTCATTCTCCCCCAACCCCCCGGCACCCCAAGAGAACCGGTGTCCTCGTGCGAGTCCTCCAGACTCTGCCACCCTGTCTGCCGGGAAGGAAGTGGGCTCAGGGAAATGCCCTGGAGCTGCCATCTTCCCAGGATCCCACTCCTGCTCTTTCCATTCCTGGGGAAGTTTCTGGTCTTGGCAGATGGAACTCGTCCAGAGATGGAGGGGATGGGTCAGAGTTGTTTGTGGGACATTCTGGGGCCTCAGGTGCAGTGTCTTTCCTTCTTTTCCTCCTTCCCCGGAAACCTCAGGCATTTGAGGTCTCTATGAACTGCCCTGGACTCACCCTATCCTGTTTCCACAGATTCACATTGTTCACTACAATTCTAAATACGAGAGCTACGATGTCGCCAAAGATTCCCCGGACGGGTTGGCTGTACTGGCAGCCTTCGCTGAGGTAGGCAGAAACTCGCGCACGTGTGTCTGTGTTTGAAGCTATAGTTTGACGTCCAAACAAGGGGTGAAGTCTAGATGAAGGGTCTTCCTTACTAGCCTCCTTCACCCTTTTCTGTGCTCACAATTCTTGGCAACGCTGACTCAATGGGTGACCAACCCTTCTTCCAGCCCTGCCCACAGTCCCTGTGCTCCTTCTGTGTCGTCAACCTCGGGGACCTTGAATAACTTGGGCAAGCTGACTTAAAAGACCTGGAGTCACAGAAGGGTTGACTAGACACGCACTAGTCTGAAAGGCAAGGGGGAGTCTGTAGTCCAGCCAGACAAGGCAGCGCCTCTGCACTTCTAAGACAGTCGCGAGAGTGGGACTTAGGGATAGGTGGCTAAAAGGAGTCAGGAGCCCAATCCCCAAGAAACAAGTATTAAATTGGATAAAATGATAAAAACCATCATTTCAGTGCTCTGGACCAAGGGCAAATGATAAATTGCAGCATTTGTTAATGAAAAATGGCTAGAATTTTGAGAACAATGAGTGTCTATAGACTTCTTGCCCGGGGCTGTTCCCATCCCCACCCCCTAACTTGGTCAACAGGTGGTTTATCAGGCAGGGCTGGTCAGGAAAACCAGCAGCTTCACTGCCGGGGCAGGCGGCTGACTTGACTTGGGGTGGAAGTTGAAAGCTCATGCCCAGGAACACTGTAGCAAACTTGGCAGAACCGACAGAAAACAAACGGGAAAAACCTGCAGCTCTGGTAGTCTGAGGTTGCAGTCCCACTTAGTGTGAGCGGTGGGTGGCAGACCAATCGGAAATCGAATGAGGAAGATCCTAGAAGTGAGAGACACAGAAAGACTCTGTAAGTCCCCAGCGTGGCCTCGTGGACAGCAAAAGCTGAAGCCGATATGAGAACTGGCTGAACTTTGAATGTGCTTCTCAACCCACATACAGATCCATCAGGTTGCAGATTGTGCCTTGCAGTAGGTGCAAGGAGATTGCGCACAGCTTGTGCCCAAATCATTGACTGACCACAAAGCTATGTCCACCTTAGGTGGCTCCTAGGAATTTGGGCTAAAAAATAAAAATAAGACTTAAAAACTGAGCAGAGAATCAGCTGCTGCGTACTTCCAGGGAGACATATCCTGCAGATTCAGCCCAAGCAAGTTACTAAACAAACACACAAACAAAACCCTTCAGGACAATTTTTTTAAAAATCAAAATCTAGATTTGCTGCCAAATATTATGTAAAATGTCCAATTTTCAACAACAAAATGGGGCATGCAAAGAAATAGGAAAATGTGGCCGGGCGCGGTGGCTCACGCCTGTAATCCTAGCACTCTGGGAGGCCGAGGCGGATGTATTGTTTGAGCTCAGGAGTTTGAAACCAGCCTGAGCAAGAGCGAGACCCCGTCTCTACTAAAAATAGAAAGAAATTAATTGGACAACTAAAAATATATAGAAAAAATTAGCCGGGCATGGTGGCGCGTGCCTGTAGTCCCAGCTACTTGGGAGGCTGAGGCAGGAGGATCACTTGAGCCCAGGAGTTTGAGGTTGCTGTGAGCTAGGATGACGCAATGGCACTCTAGCCCGGGCAACACAGTGAGACTCTGTCTCAAAAAAAAAAAAAAAGAGGAAAATGTGATCTATATTTAGGAGGAAAAAAACCAATACAAACTGACCTGAATGGACTGAGAGTGGTTAGGCAGACAGGACTTAAAAGCAGCTATCATAAATATGTTTGAAGAATTAAAGGAAACTATGTTCAAAGAATTAAAGGAAAATATGATGACACTGACTCAAAAAGGGAATCTCAACAGAGAAACAGAGACTATAAAGATGCAACAAATGGAAAGTCTAGAGTTGAAAAGTACAATGAACATAATGAAAAAATCACTACATGGGCCCAAAGCAGAGTTGAGGCAGTAGAAGAAAGAATCAGCACATTCGAAGATAGAGCAAAGAAATTATCCAATTCGAAGAACACAGAAAAAAGATTGCAGAAAAATGGACAGAGCCTTACAGACTCATGGAAACCAAACCAAGCACACCAATATGTATGTAATGGGACACCCACAAGGAGAGGAGAGAGGGAAAGTGTAAGACAAAATGTTTGAAGAAACAATAGTTAAATTTCTCAAATTTGATGAAAAACATCAATTTACCAATCCAAAAAATTCAACATCCCCCAAGTCTGATAAATGCCTGGGCACATTAAAATCAAACTGCTGAAAGCAACAAGAGAAAAAGAATTTATTATATGTAGGGAGATGACAGTACAATTAATGGCTGACTTCTCGAGTCAGCAGGAGGCAGTAGAATTACTGTCAGTCAAGAATCCTATGTCTAACTACCACCCTTCAGACATTAAGGTGAAATAAAGACATTCGCAGACAAATGAGAACCAAGATAATTGCTAGCAGACCTGTGTTACAAGAGGTAGTAAAAGAAGTCCTTCTGGATGAAAGGAAATGACACCAGACAGTAGCTCATATCTACAGAAGGACATGAAGAGTCGGGAGTGGTGACTCATGCCTGTAATCCCACGTACTTGGGAGGCTGAGGTGGGAGGATCACTTGAGGCCAGGAGTTCGAGGCTGCAGTGAGCTATGATTGTGCCACTGTACTCCAGCCTGGGTGACAGAATGAGACCTTGTCTCTAAAAAAAGGAAATGAAGAATGCCAGAAATGATAAATATGAAAGACTATATACATATACCTTTTGTCTTTTCTCCTTTTAATTTCTTTTTAAAAAAACCCATAAGATTGTTTAAAGTGATAATTACACCACTATATTTGTTGGTTTATAATATGCATAGATGTAATATATATGACAAAAATAGAAGAAAGAATGGGAAGAAACAGCTAAGTTGCTATATTTTAGTTGAATTAAGTTAGTATTAATCTGACATAGATTGTGATTAGGTTAAATTGTATACTGTAATCAGTAGAGCAACTGCTAAGAAAGTAGCTAAAAATGGTCAAATGGCACACTAAAAGTATTAGTTTAATGCAAGGGAAGGCAGTAAAGGCGGAATGAGGAACAGAAAAGACAAGAGACATAGGAGAACAAATAACGGATGGCAGTCATATGGCCAAGAAAGCCTGAAATTATGCACAGGGGAAGAGAGATTGGGTCAATACCACCTGATTGAAAGGATCCATTGAAAATAGACCTTTCTCACCAAAAGCAACTTCTCTGGCTTTTAAAATGCAACATGCATCTAGAAAGCGTGATCTGGAATTGGGGCTGCTCTCCCTTGACGGTCTGGCTGTCAGGAGCCCCGAGGATGAGGTAGGGAGCTCCTGAGATCCGGCCTCCCTCATCACAAAGAACCTGACTGTGGCTGACCCTGCTGGGAACAAGCCCATGGGGGGTTTTAGCAGAGACTTTTGGCCATTCCTGGGGCGTCACCGGTCACCAAGAAACTCCTTTCCCTGAAAGTTGCCAAAATGCTTCAGACAGTTTCTCCCTGGAAGAGACGGATGAGCGCAGGAAGCTGTTGGCAAAGAATAGCCAGATTGTGCCCCCCTGAACACAACTGGGGGGTGGGCTGTCTCCTCCTTACTCTCAGCTCTGCCCGGTCAGCGAGACCCCAGCAGCTGGGTTAGCAGAGATGGCAGGAGGGCTCTTCACTGCATTAACTGCTGTGTGTTTTTCCTACAGGTGAAGGATTATGCTGAAAACACTTACTACAGCAGCTTCATTTCTCATCTGGCCAACATCCAGTATGCGGGTAAGGGAAGGGGAGCGAGTGTGAGGTGGGGCAGGGGCAGAGGGAGGGTGACGTGGGGGGCAGGGTGGCCGACGGGCCCTGCCGAGGGAGCCCACCCTTCCCTGCGTGAGACCACTTGTTGCAGTGATTCCTGCTGTTGGCTCAGCAGGGACACCTCTGAGCAACCTGTTGGCAAACTCTACTTGTCGGCTCCCGTGACTGGAACTTCTGGGTGGCTGGAGTTCCGCTAAGTAGGGATAGCCTCACTTCAGTGACTCTCACCTCTGACCCCAGCTGGCAGGGACAGTGCTGGTCCCTGGGGAGAGGTCCATCCCGGCTCCAAGCTGAGATGAATGTCAAAAGTGAAGCCCCTCCCCATCCCATCCGGACATACAGGCACTCGGGTGGTCTACACTGTCTGCCTCCAGAAGGCAGCGTCCATGTCAGAGCAGCAGTCCACTGCCACGGTCAGCCCTTGAGCATGAGCTAGCACCGTGTTAGCTCTGAAGCCTGGGCTTTGCGCGGCCCACTCTGGCCACACCTCCCGCCTCCCACCCTGACCTCAACACCAGCCCCCTCCGGCACTTCACCTGACCCGAGTCCTCCGGCCCATCGGCCTCCGAGTTCCGGCTGTGAATCACGCCTCACGTCCTCTCATCTCTGTTTCCTAGTTTAGATTCCCTGGGCCAACCCATGCAAGCGGCCTCCGTGCCCTCGCCCCAGCCCTCCACAAACTCGCCCGAAAGCCGCAGACCGACTCTCACCTACTCAGAGCCTGAATGTGGTTTCACGGAAACCCAGAGACAACTAACTGGCATTATTTTTACTCACAGCTACAAATACAAATAGGAACAGTCATTAACACCGCCCGGAAATCCCAAAGTACCACTCTGGGCATTTCCTTTGCCATCTCCTCTCTGCTCTCTCCTGGAGCCCCCGTGCCCTGGCCTCAGCCCCTCTCCTGGAGCTGACGCCCTCACTGTCCCTTCTCTGAGAAGGCAGGAGGACCAGCCAGAAACTCACCCTTCTTTGTAACCCACCTGCATCTGGACCAGACCCCAAGTCCCCTCTTTTGTTACAATGGCCGAAACATCCCTGCTCTTGTCAAGACCACCCTCCCATGTGAGCACTGTCCCCAGCCCTCTCCCACCGTCGGGGCTTCTTTCCTGCTCTTCTCTCCCCTCTCCGCCATCATTGATTTCCTACTCTTCCTCACATCTCTCTGCTCAGCACACGGCTCCAAACACAGACGACAGTATCTCCTGACCCCGCCATCCTCCCAGCTTCCACCCCGTTCTCCCTCACCCCATGGAAGGGTCGTCCAACACTCCTGTTCTCCTTTCACACCCGCCCACCCCAGGCTGGCCCACTGCTCCACTGGGCTGGCTGGGGTCACCCCTGTTGTCAGATCTGCCGGCCACTTTTCTCCTCTTCCCTTAATCGACCTTGAAATGACGGTTCAGGACACCCCGCTCTCATTCCAGCTGCGCCCACCGCACCTCTTGAGCTCTGCTCTCTTGCTCTCTTTCTGGTCCCTGCCCTAACTGTAGGAGGGGGCCCGGCTCTGCCTTCTCCTGGGCCCTCATTCACTCCCACAGCCTACACTGCCGTCTCCAAAATCCGTATCTCGTTCTACACGCAGTGACGGCGGCGGGCAGAACAGGTGGGGCGAAGTGGACGCGAGAACCCTCTGAGTAACTTACTGACCAGAATGAAGCCAACAGGGGGAATCGCAGGCCTGTAGCGACCGAGGAGTTTCTACTCCTGCTCACTGAGCCCGGTGCATTTCCTTCTCCAGGTCAATAAATTCTGCTTCTGGTCCACACAACCTCTCTCTGAATTCCAGATTGCTTCGCTCAGCTGTTTACTTGATATTGCTGTGCGGGTCCGAACTTATGCAGCCAAAACATAGCTGTGTCTTCCCCGCCTCCTGGGCCTGTCCCTAAACTGGCGCTCTCTGCTTCTTGCCCATCTCAGTGAATGATGCTGTGATCCATCCCATCGTCGGCACAAAGTCTGGGAAGATTTTCCTCTTTCCATTGCCCCCCATGTTCACACCATCAACTCATCCCCGTGTTTTTACCTCCAAAACAGGACACATCACCTTGCTTTAATTTCCTGTTCCGCACTTATGACTGCCTATATTTTATTTACATTTTTATTATCTTGTCCCGTCACTAGAGTGCAAGTGGGCAAGGACTTTGCCTTGTTATTGTGGTAATCCGGCCACTAGTAACACACCTGGCACGTGGCTGGCCTTAAATGCTTGTCAAATACATGATAGGAGCAGGTCTGTGTCTGCAAAATACCCAGAAGGTGCCTTCAGCAATCCAAAAGTTCTTTAATGACAAATGACCTCTCCCTAAATTCCCACGTATCAGCCTTAGGTATGTTCCAGGCCAGAAGATCTCCAGTCACCTAAACTTGCAGATGGTTCTGAAATTCTTCTGCTTTATTGTAGTTATACATACATAACATAAAATTTACCACTTAAACTATTTTAAGTGTATAGTTCAGTGGCCTCAGGTCCATTCACATTGTCATGCAACCATCTCCACCATCCATCACCAGAAATGTTCATGTTCCTAAACTGGAACTCTGTACCTGATAAACAATAACTCCCATTTCACCTTCCTTCCAACCTCTGTAACCATTATTTCTATCCCTATAAATTTGACTATTCTAGGTACCTTATGTAAGAAGAATCATACAATATCTGTCCTTTTTGGTCTGGCTTATTTTACTTAGCATAATGTCTTTAAGGTTCATCCATGCTAGAGCATATATCAGAATTTCATTCCTTTTTTTGTTTTTAGAGACAGGGTCTTGGTCTGTCACCCGAACTGGAGTGCAGTGGCCCCATCATAGCTCACTGTAACCTTGAACTCCTAAGCTCAAGCGATCCTCCCACCTCAGCTTCCCAACAAGCTTGGACTACAGGCATACACCTCTACACCCAGCTAATTAAAAATTTTTTTATAGAGATGGGTGTCTGGCAATGTTTCCCAGGCTGGTCTTGAACTCCTGGCCTCAAGCAATCCTCTTGCCTCATTGCGCCTCCCAAAGCCCTGGGATTACAGGTATGAGCCATTGGCCTGGACTCATTCCTTTCCAAGGCTGAATAACATCCCATTGTTTGTATATGCCACATTGTTTATCCATTTACCCACTGGTGGGCATTTGGGTTGTTTCAATATTTTTGGCTCTTGTAAATAATGCTGCGATGAACACGGGTGTACACATATCTGTTCAAGTCCCGGCTTTCAATCCTTTTGGGTCTATACTGGGAAATGGAATTGCTGGATCGTATGGTGATCTGTGTGAATTTTCTGAGGAGCTGCCATACTACTTTTCATAGTGGCCGCACCATGATTCTGGAATTCTTGACCTTCACTTAAATATATTAGACTTATGAAAACAGATCTGTGCCACAGAGCCCTTTAGAAGGCTCTATCTTGAAATCCTCTAATAATAACAAAACTTAGAAATTATTTGCCTGTTTGTGGGATTACGTACTACTAGACATTGTGGTCTTGGTTGAACAAACCTATTTATGCATATATCAAAACTATCTTTGCCTTTAAGAAGTGCAGAACTGCTGGGCATGGGCTCACACCTGTAATCCCAGAGCTTTGGGACGCTAAGGCAGGAGGGTTGTTTGAGCCTAGGAATGCGAGACCCCTCTCTACAAAAAATTTTAAAAAAATTAGCCAGGTGTGGTGGCGTGCACCTGTAGTCCCAGGTACTCAGGAGGCTGAGGCAGGAGGATCGCTTGAGCCCAGGAGTTTGAGGTTGCAGCGAGCTATGATCATGCCACTACACTCTAGCCTCAGTGACAGAGTGAGACCCTGTCCCTAAAAAAAAGAGAGAGAGAGAGAGAGAGAGAAAAGAAAAGAAAAGAAGGGCAAAAGTGGTCGGGAAAATTGAGAGAAAATCTAACTCAATTCCACGTTGCTTTGGTAGTTTCATGCTGAGCTCAGGGGCTCAGTGTGGTTGACGTGGACAAAACAAGTCACTCTCTAGAGTAGGAATGGGTGTGGCTGTTGTGGGAGCCTCAGACACTCACGGAAGTGCATTGTCCCTACGCCCCGGCTGTGGCTGAGCTGGGTTCCCACTGGGTGTGGCAGGAGGAGCTCAGGACCAGAAGCTCTGGCCCCTGGCTTGGGTCTGATTCTGCCTTTCTAACCTCTACCTACCTGCTGCTACATGAGCCCAAACCAAGGGATTTTGTTCTTTCTTTGAGGGCACTTACCGGGAAGCCTCTAGGGGCCATTCATTTCACTGATGATAAAATGTATCCTCTGCCTAACAATGAGGATGATGATGGCAGTGACGCTATGGGCACTTCCCTGTGGACTCGTTCCACGTACCAGCCACTTGATAAACATGATTCCCCTTTCCTCTCACAGCAGTCTTGTTGGTTGTGCCCTTTGTACAGATGAAGGAACAGCCTCAGAGCGAGCACCCACCTAAGGCCACTCGGCCAGGAGGAGGTATCTGAGGTGGCTGCCCCAGAGTCTCTCCTCTGAACCCCTTCCAGGAAGGCGTACACTGGGGAAATGTTTCCCGATCATCAGCTTCTGTGTTCTTCTGCTTAAGTCAGGGCATTTGAGTATGGCGAGGCCTGAGCGGCCCTCCCAGGGGCAGCAGCGGCCCCTGCATTCCTTTCCCTCCTGTTTCCTTGCTTAGGTCAAAGCACAACTCTGACCGGCCTTGACCTTAAGGACATGCTGCCGGCGAACCTCCAGCACTACTACAGCTACCAGGGGTCGCTCACCACTCCTCCCTGTACTGAGAACGTCCACTGGTTTGTGTTGGCAGATTCCGTCAAGCTCTCCAAGACCCAGGTAACGCATGGCATCGCTTTGCCGAAGTTTCCCCTTCAGACTGCCTGGCTAACAAGCATGCTCCTCAAATCCCAGCTAATGTTAACTCCTGGGGTTCCTACAGCCTTTTCCATGCACAGGACTACTGTGCCGCACCTGTATAACCATGGGCGATCCTCCCAGTGCTGTGGTAGAGATAGGCAAACTGAGGCCAGACGGAACCCAAGGACAGCAAATGCAGCGAAAGGACTGGAACCTGATTCAAGTCATAGGAGAGGAGTTGCACAGTGAAGGCAAAAACTTACTGAGTGTTCTGGGTCCTTGATATACTAAATTGCTGTCCTCATGCGGCTCACATTCTAACTTCTTAAATGGCTTTATGCAAGAAGGACCGCTTCATAGTTAGCTCGTTATCATTCTAAAATGCCTGTAGCCTTTTGAGAAGAGCCATGTCAGTCATCTTTTGTCCCCCAGCATAGCTCAGGTACATAATAAAGGTTTGTTGAATTAAATAAATGGACAAATATCACTAAGCTTGCAAGGCAAAGCTGACATTTCCTTCTGAGTTGATATTCTTCCTCAGGGACAAATGTTTCTTTTTCTTAAACTTTTATTTCCTTACCTGAGGAAAAGGTGAAAAAGACCCCTACCCAAGGACACCCACACATACAAATGTTGCCAACCAGGCTGGAAGTGCCCCAGAGGCCTGAAAAAAGCAAATCTATATTATCTCTGGAAAAATGCACCTTAAATGCAGATCTAGAAGAATTTTCACAAATAAAATTGCCTGAAATTAGCTCAATTAAAAAAACCCCACAAAACACACAAGGAAAAAGACACTATGAGTGAGAGCCAGCAGACTCAGGCCTACAAATATTTCAGGTAATTATATCAGATAATATCAGATAATCTCAGATCAATCAGAAAGATCAGATAATTAATATAAGAATGTTTAATATGTATAAAGAACTAAGTGGTTTAAATATGAGGAAAGAAGAAAAAAGTATAAAACTGGACAACCAGACTTGGAAAAAGAAACCCAAATAGAATTTGGAAAATAGAAATGGAAAGATACAATGGTAACCAATCCAATGAATAGGCTCAAAAACATGTTAGATACAGTTCAAGAGAGAATTAGTAAATAGGAAAACAGAGCAGAGAAAATTATGTAGACTGCAGCACAAGGAGAAAAAGAGATGGAAATATGAAAAAGAAGTAAAGAGACACAGAGAGTATGGTGGAAATGTCTAACAAATATCTAATTGAAATCCTAGAAAGAGAAGAGATGCACAATAGGGAGGAGGCATGATTTGACAAAATATTGACTGATAATTTTCAGGAAGAGTTGAAAGATACTGAGCCATATATTCAAGACTCCCAATGACTCAGTCTCTCCCTCTCCCTCTATCTCTTCCTCTCCCTCTGTGTGTGTATGTGTTTGTGTGTGTGTATATATATAAAATATGTATATATATTTTATATATGTACATGAAACTGCACTAAATACTTCAGTGAAACTATCAAACACAAAAGATTTAAAAATCTGTCAGAGAGAAAAGACAGATTAACATGAAAAGAGCACTATTACACCAAGAGTTAATTCAGCACAGCAACAGTGGAAGTCAGAAGGCAGTGGAATCACATTTTCAAAGTGCTGAGAAAATAAATAGCCAACATAGAATTGTACATGCAGCAAAAATGCCTTCCAAGGATGTAGACAAATTATAAACATTTTCAGAGAAACAAAAATTGAGCCTACCAATTGATATATTTCTGTTTACTTCTTTCTCTCCTTTATACTATCGACCAAATACTCATAGAAAAGATGAAAAGATATGTGTGTAGATACTTGTTGGAAGAATGAATGGGTAGATATGTTCTGGAATAATGCCTGGCACATAGTACCCAGAACCTCCTCTGCACTTGAGATCTTCTTACTTTATTAATAAGGGTTAGTAAATCCGAGACGTAGTCCAATTGTTAACTTAACACTTTTAAATTACCCAGTGCCTCTTCGCCTCCACAATTCACCTCATATTGTCCACAGGTTTTGAAGCTAGAAAATTCCTTATTGGATCATGAGAACAAGACCATCAACAATGATTATCGCAGGACCCAGCCCCTGAACCACAGAGTAGTGGAAGCCAACTTCATGTACCTCCCTAGTTCGGGTAAGTGAGATCAACTCTTGTTTATATTTTGCAATTTGTCGATTCCTGTTTTACTCCCTTCTCTGGGTGGACCCGTCTCCTCTGCGATAGTAAGGGAAGCAGAGTCATCTCAGCGGCAGGAGGCCCAGATGGCCCACCCAGACAGGGCTTGGGCAGAGGGTGAAGACTCACCTTCCCAGTCCAGGCAGTGATGCAAGTGAGTAGAACAGAGGAGACAATGAGGATAAACAACTACGTGATTTATCACCTCCCTGGTCTTGGCTAGAGATAGTAGGAGAATCAAGATGACAACATCCAGAAGCTCTCATAAGAGCGTAGGTTCAAGTTAACCTTATTAAACCCAACCTAAATAATTTCCCGCACACTTTATCTTGGTCTGTATTGCAAACCCATGTCCAGTTCCTCCTATACATTCTCTCAGGGTGGGGTTAACTAGACTACACATTGTTTACTGCATCTGCTTGAGATTCAAGCCCTAGACACAGGGTGCTGGAAGTAGGCTGGGCAGTCTGGCCTCCACTGCACCCTCTAATTCACTGGGTCAGGCTCCAACTCTGTTCTTGGCTCACCTCATTTCTGTGTTTGCAAAAATGTCAATATTCTTCGACCTTCCCATCTTTATTTTATCTGCTCCTCTGTAAAGTTGTGGTGAACCGTACACATTCCCTGGATCCCTTGTCTTTGTGATCTATTTCTGTTAACCATTCCTGATACTTTTACATCCTCTGATACAATGGAATCGGTCTCCAATCGATATTGCCCACTCAATATTACCCTACCTTAATATGTGTCTTTCAAAACTCTTAAATTTCCATACTCCCCACCCACAATAAAGGCCCATTTGTGACTTTCTCCCCATCTTTCCTTCCTGGTTCACTTGCTGTTTCCTCTTATATCAGTTTATTCCTCTAATACATACTAAGAGAGGAAAAAACTGATGTCAGCTATAATTATAATTTCCCCATATTATACTATAGACAATATTAAAAGCAACAATTCCTTTTTCCAAAGGTGATGTCCTCTTATATAGGTCCAATTGCTAGCAGGCTAACCAAAGGAAGCTTAGACCCACCGATCTGTCTCCTCATTCTAAATTTGCATGTTCTTTAATAAAATTCTACATTATTCTTGCAACAGGCACCAACAGACTGGATAGTTTCCCGTATACCACATCTTAAATGCTCCTTCCCTAGGGGCCGCTCCACTTTGTCCTCATCAGGGAGCTCTGATGTTCTAGACACATGCCCTGGGGCCCCACATTGCAATCTGCCTGTGAGTCCACCGTGGCCCTCCCTTCTGAGACTTGCTGTTTAGGGTCATTACTTCAACTCCCAGTAGACAGGAGGAGGGCTTCTTCCCCCGTCCCCAGCCAAGGGATCTGAATTGTGGCCTCTCTTTGCTGATAACAGAACAGAGGACTGGGCGCCCTCTCGCCCACCTTCCTGCAGGCCCAAATTTCTGTGCAGCAGTGATTGGACCCAGGCACCCCAGTAGCGTGACTCACATCTCATAGTTCTATAGAATGCCACCCTAGCTGGGTGAATATGGTTAACCCATCAAGGAAGGGTTACCTGAGGAGCCAAGGTCAGTTATGAAAACAAGACAGTAGCCAAATACAGACCTCTTGCAATTTATTTATTAGAAAACACCTACATACCCTCAGGTAAGGGCCACCAAGCATTGCGTGGGAAATCCAGGTCCAAGAATACAACCCTCTTCAACACGGAACCCCTTGGATTCTGGAAGCTGCAAGCCCAAGTTCAGACACGGGGAAGGTGCTTGAAGCCGGTGGAATGGGAGCATGGAGGGGATTCGAAGGAATCAGAAATACTTCCCGCAAATACGATGTGGCGAATGGCGTCCGGCTCTGCCACGTTCTCTGTTTTCACGAGGACCCTCGAAGTTTTGACCTTTTCCGACTAACTCTTCTCTTTACAGAATATGTTCTGGCCTCTGAGCTCCAGTCTTCCCTAAGCAAGATCAACGAAAACCTCTTTTACTTGAGAAGATTTGTTGAAGAGAAGAAAAGTAGGAGAAGACTCCCGCATTTTAAGTAGCTTGAAGCCTGAGCTAGGACGCCACGTGAAGAGGAGGCCACTTGGCTGCAGCCGCACCTTGCCCTGCCCATCGCTCCCCGTGAGGCGACTGTTGCATTTTGGATTAAACCAGGGGAAACCGTCGTCCGTGAAAGAAAGTGAGATGGTTTAAATACATGAGGAGGGATTTGAGTCAGACGTGGCCAGTGGAAATTGATAGGAGTAGAAATTTAAAGGGAGCGGAGCCCTACTTACCCTGCTGTGAAATCATCACTTTGATCTGCGTAAATTGCAAACCAGCCCGGATCTCCCCTCAGCATTAAGATGTAATAAAATGATTTTGGAAATTTGCCATTTAAAATGTTCTCTTTTCTGTTCCTTTGTACCTGCTCACATATCCCTTCTCTGCCTTACCCCAGGGGACACACACAGGTGAGGGCACAGAGGTCAAGGTGTGAGGGGTTTCCAGGACCAAGACCAATGAAAAGGAAAGAGATTCTTGTCAGCGGGGAGAGCTGGACCCCGGCCACGCCCTGTGCTTAGAGAAAGACGAGGGAGGAGAAGGAAGGCAGGCTCCTGGGACAGAGGGGGGGAGGGAGGGAGGAGAGAGGACCTCCCTGCAAACCCCCTCGTTAGTCCAGTGGTGCCTGGGCCTTGTTGCTACCTGACCCAGGTTCGAGTGCTAGTTGCCGCTTCTGAGTCATGTGGGATGAGAGCATAATCTGTCTTCTAGTGCTGAGGCTTGATTAGTAAGTGCCCAGCAGTGGCCGTTATTTTTACTGGTCAGTTCTGTGTACCCTCACTGCCCCCTTGTCACTCCTTCACACCCGTCTCATCTCTGGTTGAGCTCACGTCTGCTTCTGAATTCCTTTATCTGCTCTTTTACCCCCCTGCTCTTCCATACTGTTTTTTTTTTTTTTTTTTTTGAGACAGAGTCTCACTGTGTTGCCCGGGCTAGAGTGCCGTGGCGTCAGCCTAGCTCACAGCAACCTCAAACTCCTGGGCTCAAGCGATCCTCCTGCCTCAGCCTCCCAAGTAGCTGGGACTACAGGCATGCGCCACCATGCCCGGCTAATTTTTTCTATATATTTTTAGTTGTCCAATTAATTTCTTTCTATTTTTAGTAGAGACGGGGTCTCGCTCTTGCTCAGGCTGGTTTCGGACTCCTGAGCTCAAACAATCCACCCGCCTTGGCCTCCCAGAGAGCTAGGATTACAGGCGTGAGCCACCACGCCCGGCCCCATACTGTTCTTTATCATACCCAAAGCACTTCCACATCCGACTTCATTCGGCCACCCTCGATGACGCATGATCCCCAGTGTATAGAAGAGGAAGAAGAGACCCAGATGCAGACTTGCCCCAAGGCCCCTAGGTAGTAGGTAAAAAGCCAGGATTTGAACCCAAGCCTTTTGTGTCCACATTCTTTTGACTACAGCAGTCTTCCTTTTCATTTACTCAACAAGCTTTGCTGAGCACCTACTATGTGCCAGAGGTGGTGCTAATACGGGCGGTTGAGAGACGGGTGAGGGACGGACAGTTCCTATGCTCCTGGAGCTCAAGTCCAGTGAGCAGCGTGGACATTTAAATAACCAGTCACCCTACGATGGACAGAACGCGGATGTTTAAAACCTCCACAGGAGGACTGGTGCTTGGCCTGGGTTTTGAAGGCTGAGAAGAGGTTCGCCTGGGGAACCAAGGAGGGGAGGAGCGGGGTACTTAGGCCAAGGTAATGGCATGTGCCTATGGGGAGACACATGGGAAGTGGACTCAGTTTGGTGTGGTCAGAGCAACAGGTTCGAGGATGCTTGCAGGAGAGGAGGGGGTGGTACCTGGGGGAGGTCAGGCCGTCACTCATACCTTCTGTGCCACTAAAGGGTTTGGATTTTACCCTGTGGGTGATGGCAGCTTTTGCAGGGTTTTAGCTGAAGAACGGCATCGTAAGATTCATTCTTTCAACCAGAAATGGCATCTCTGATGAATCGGAGATACAACGGTGGACAATATGGCCAAGGAGCTTATGCTGCTGTCTGGGGAGAGAGACTATAAGCAAATAAATGAAATGCAAACGAACAGGATTACTCTTGCCTGCATCCTGGGACCCAGCCCTCTCACCCCAAAACTCTATCTCCAAAAGCCATTCATGATGGCCCTATTTGCAGCAAAATACTGGAAACAACACAAAGGTCTGTCAGTTGGGATTGGTCGACTAAACCAGAGTAATTCACATAATGGGGAGCTGCATAAGGAATAACCTCTAGGTGCTATATATATTTTTAATTGAATATTTGTTAATTTTTAGAGATGGGGTCTTGCTATGTGACCCAGGCTGGTCTCAAATTCCTGGCCTTAAGTGATCCTCCTGCCTCAGCCTCCTGAGTTGCTGGGATTACAGGCATGAGCCACCATGCCCAGCTATAGGCTATATTTTTAAGTGGAAAAAGCAAGGTATAGGACAGTGTGTAGGTATGCATGCAGCTTTACAGATGGCATAAGAAAAGTTGAAAATCTGAATATATTTAAGTATTTATGTTTTCAGGCACAAACAAGGAAAAAAGGAACCAAAAGTCAATAAAAATAGTCACCTAAAAGGAGTTGTCAGGGGAAAGAGTGGGGAGGATGGGGTTGGAAGGTGGGGTTTTCTGGATGCACCTTGTTTGGTAGTTTTGACTTTGGAAACTTGGGTTTTACATAATTATAAAACAAAATTAAATAAAGAAGGAAAAAAGTGATCCCTAAAACTTAAACCTCAAGTTAACTTGAAACATCAAACTATAGTAAAACAATTGAATAATTGTACATTGATCTGATGGCACAAACCACACAGAGAAGGATTTTTCTGTGTTGTTTTAAGCACAGTATTTTTACCATACACACCTGGCAAGGTACATCCTAAGGACAAAACGTACCAAGAAATCTTAAATAGCACTCAGGAATCTTGTTAGTAATTATATTGGTATCGTTATTTCGAAACTCTCTCTGTGTGTGTGCAATTGCTATTTTCTTTCTTTCTTTTTTTTTTTTTGTTGCCCTGGCTAGAGTGAGTGTCGTGGTGTTAGCCTAGCTCACAGCAACCTCAAACTCCTGGGCTCAAGCGATCCTACTGCCTCAGCCTCCCGGGTAGCTGGGACTACAGGCATGCACCACCATGCCCGGCTAATGTTTTTTTCTATATATTTTTAGTTGTCCAATTAATTTCTTTCTAATTTTTAGTAGAGACGGGGTCTCGCTCTTGCTCAGGCTGGTTTCGAACTCCTGAGTTCAAACAATCCTCCCGCCTTGGCGTCCCAGAGAGCTAGGATTACAGGCATGAGCCACTGCGCCTGGCCAATTGCTATTTTCTATTACTGCATATGCGTACATGGTTATGTTAATGTCCTTATTAATGAGACTTTCAGCATTAAAGAAAGAGATCCAAATGAAAATTAAAAAGCTAGATAATCACACATTTGAATGGAAATATCAGTATGAATTTATAAATTCTTTTTTCTTTCTGAAAAGCATGATTTTCTAGGTCTGTCACTGAAAAGTCCTAGCAGCTCAACCATTTAGAAGCAGCGAACACCGTCATGACCAGACAGTGGTCTCTAAACACCATTTTCCACTACAGGGACTCAGGGCCCCTTGGAGAAATGGCTGGTTCCAGATTTGGGGCAAGAATATATACGATGAACCTGGGCTATCTTTTTAAGCCAGAAAATAAGAAATCTATCTAAGAGTCCTGGAGTTATGTCGAAAAAACACTGGGGCCATCTTTAAGGGGCTTCTGGAACAACTTAAGCATCCAAAAGAACAATATCATAAAAAAAATAATGACTGCAATGGATTGAAACCCCAGATATATAGACATGCATGAGCTCATAATCGTCCTTAAAAAAAAATGAAAGAAAACTCACTGGTCAACTCTGGAGGTTGCTAGAGCAGCCCTTTATTTTTCTGTAAATTGGCAAAAAGAGGGGAAAAAACCCAAGTATTTATCCTATTTTTCCTGTCCACAATGCCTTTCAGATTAATTTCACAGTTGGTTGTATTAGTTTCTCATGGCTGCCATAACAAATGATCACAAACTTCACGGCTTAAAAGAATGGAAATTTATTTTCACATAGTTCTGGACACCAGGAATCTGAAATCAGCGCACTGGCTGGGCCAAGTTCCCTTCCAAGACTGCCAGGGAGGATCCTCCCTCCGTCTTCCAGCGTCTGTTGGACCTCGGTGTTCCTGGGTTTGTGGCCGCATCTCTCTAGGCAATACTTCCATCTTCGCAGGGCCTTCTCTCCTCTGTCTTTCTGCTTCTCTCTTGTAGGGCTTTCTCTTCTCTGTGTCTTTCTGCTTCTCTCTTGTAGGGACGCTTGTCATTGGATTTAGGGCCCACTCGATAATCCGGGATAATTTCACCTCAAAACCCTTACTTAATTACATCTGCAAAGACCCTTTTTTCCAATAAGGTCGCCTTCACGGGTTCTGGGTGGACATTCTTTTGGGGCAGCCGCCATTCACCCCTCTGCAATTGGTGAGGGAAACTCTTGAAGGAATCCCAGCTAGTAAGTTCAGAAGGAATTATTCTGCAACCTTAGTGGAAAAAGGGACCCAGGTGATGATCATGATTGGTTCCTAACTCCACCAGATGGGAGATTCATGGGATTTTTATATTATAATGGATGGATCAACCTGACAGCCTTTGGAAACGCTAAGCAGTGTTAATGTCACTAAACATGAAACAAGCTGACGTTCTGTGCTTCAGGAAATTTAG